ACTGTAACCAGACTATGACCCTGTGGCTCCCCTTAGGCATATCCCTGGAACGAGTCAGGGTTGAACAGAGTTCACGTTAAACCGTTGTCTCTCTTTGGCTATCTTCTTGATTGATTACAGCATAACGGGGTGGGTTTTGGGTATGTTTAATAGATTAAGTGTGGACCTGTCATGTCCCACAATAAATCTTCAGGTCAAGTCAGGGGGAGCCGGGGTTGAACAGAGTTTAAACTGAACATGAGTGTTTTTGCATGACAAGGGTGTGATTGATTGTAATAATATTGTTTCTAAACTGAATGACAGTCAAATTTAGCCCTATCATAGACTAAGGAAGTGGGCAGATAGTGGTAGGAGAACCCAAGAGGGAGGGGTTTTGAGCTAGGAGGGATGTGAATGGGACAATATACAGTGAGGGGAAAAAAGTATATGATCCCCTGCTGATTTTGTAAGTTTGCCCACTGACAAAGAAATTATCAGTCTATAATTTCAATGGTAGGTTTATTTGAACAGTGAGAGACAGAATAACAACAAAAAAATCCAGAAAAACGCATGTCAAAAATGTTATAAATTTATTTGCATTTGAATGAGGGAAATAAGTATTTGAGCCCTCTGTAAAACATGACTGAGTACTTGGTGAAAGAACCCTTGTTGGCAATCACAGAGGTCAGACGTTTCTTGTAGTTGGCCACCAGGTTTGCACACATCTCAGGAGGGATTTTGTCCCACTCCTCTTTGCAGATCTTCTCCAAGTCATTAAGGATTCGAGGCTGACGTTTGGCAACTCGAACCTTCAGATCCCTCCACAGATTTTCTATGGGATTAAGGTCTGGAGACTGGCTAGGCCACTCCAGGACCTTAATGTGCTTCTTCTTGAGCAACTCCTTTGTTGCCTTGGCCTTGTGTTTTGGGTCATTGTCATGCTGGAATACCCATCCACAACCCATTTTCAATGCCCTGGCTGAGGGAAGGGGGTTCTTACCCAAGATTTGACGGTACATGGCCCCGTCCATTGTCCCTTTGATGCGGTGAAGTTGTCCTGTCCCCTTAGCAGAAAAACACCCCCAAAGCATAATGTTTCCACCTCCATGTTTGACGGTGGGGATGGTGTTCTTGGGGTCATAGGCAGCATTCCTCCTCCTCCAAACATGGCGAGTTGAGTTGATGCCAAAGAGCTCGATTTTGGTCTCATCTGACCACAACACTTTCACCCAGTTCTCCTCTGAATCATTCAGATGTTCATTGGCAAACTTCAGACGGGCATGTATATGTGCTTTCTTGAGCAGGGGGACCTTGTGGGCGCTGTAGGATTTCAGTCCTTCACGGCGTAGTGTGTTACCAATTGTTTTCTTGGTGACTATGGTCCCAGCTGCCTTGAGATCATTGACAAGATCCTCCCGTGTAGTTCTGGGGGTGATTCCTCACAGTTCTCATGATACTACAGGGTCGGCAGGTAGCTTAGTGGGTAAGAGCGTTGTCCAGTAACCGAAAGGTCGCTGGTTCTAATCCCGAGCTGACTAGGGAAAATCTGTCGATGTGCCCTTAAGCAAGGCACTTAACCCTAATTGCTCCTGTAAGTTGCTCTGGATAAGAGCGTCTGCTAAATGACTAAAATGTAAATGTAAATCATGCAACTCCACGAGGTGAGATCTTGCATGGAGCCCCTGGCCGAGGGAGATTGACAGTTCTTTTGTGGTTTCTTTCCATTCGCGAATAATCGCACCATGTTGTCACCTTCTACCAAGCGCTTGGCGAGGTCCTTGTAGCCCTTCCAGCCTGTGTGGGTACAATCTTGTCACTGTCCTTGGATGAGCTCTTTGGTTTGGCCATTGAGAGTTTGGAATCTGATTGATTGATGTTCTGTACGGGTTGTCTTTGGCTTCTGTGGACAGGTGTCTTTTATACAGGTAACAAGCTGAGATTAGGAGCACTCCCTTTAAGAGTGTGCTCCTAATATCAGCTCGTTACCTGTATAAAAGACACCTGGGAGCCAGAAATCTTTCTGATTGAGAGTGGGTCAAATACTTATTTCCCTCATTAAAATGAAAATCAATTTATAATAATAATATGCCATTTAGCAGACGCTTTTATCCAAAGCGACTTACAGTCATGCGTGCATACATTTTTGTGTATGGGTGGTCCCGGGGATTGAACCCACTACCTTGGCGTTACAAGCGCCGTGCTCTGCGTTTTTCTGGATTTTTTTGTTGTTATTCGGTCTCTCACTGTTCAAATAAACCTACCATTAAAATTAGAGACTGATCATTTCTTTGTCAGTGGGCAAACTTACAAAATCAGCAGGGGATCAAATACTTTTTTCCCTCACTGTAGACGGGGAGAAGAGAGAGAGAATGGAGGCTATTCTGCAGACCAGCCCGGCTTTGTTGAATTGTAATAAGGTCAATCTTTATTCTACAAAAACTCTGGAAGAACTTTGATTTTTGATAAAGTATAGTGATTGTTTTCCACATCACTATCCACAAAAATAATACATGATTTATAGTATATACTACAGTTTTCTTTTACAACAGTATTTATACTACAATTTACTGTAAATACTACAGCATACTACAGTAAACACTACAGTGAATACTACAGTAAATAATATAGTATTTACAGTGCCTTCAGAAAGTATTCACACCTCTTGACTTTTTCCACATTATGTTGTGTTACAAAGTGGGACTAAAATTGATTTAATTGTCATTTTTTTGTTAAGAATCTACACAAGATTCCACTTTGACAATATGGGGTATTGTGTCTAGACCAGTGATAAGAAAATCCCAATTTAATCAATTTTAAATTCAGGCTGTCAAGGGGTGTGAATAATTTCTGAAGGCACTGTATACAATAGTATACTATAGTATTTTTTTATGTGGGTGTATCGTCTCAGTGGACATCAAGTGTGGGAAACCAATCAGCAAGACACTACAGAACACAGCCTCTGTATAAACCAGACAAAAACTATTATTTCTATACAAAAAGTTTATTCACATTATAAAATGGCGTGTACATACTATCAACCATAGAACAATCTATAGCGCAACATCTATACACTACAAATCTACAACAGTACTTTCAGCAATATGCATGCTGTACTCTTTCTGCCAAGATATACAAAATAAATAGATGCAAACGAGTTAGACATCCAATTTTTTGATCTAAATACAAATGATTCGAAAAAAGTTTCAAACAAAACAGAATTTTGACCATTGTTTATACACTACCGGTCAAAAGTTTTAGAACACATACTCATTCAAGGGTTTTTCTTTATTTTTACTATTTTCTACATTGTAGAATAATAGTGAAGACATCAAAACTATGAAATAACACATATGGAATCATGTAGCAACCAAAAAAGTGTTAAACAAATCAAAATATATTTTATATTTGAGATTCTTCAAATAGCCACCCTTTGCCTTGAAGACAGCTTTGCACACTCTTGGCATTCTCTCAACCAGCTTCACCTGGAATGCTTTTCCAACAGTCTTGAAGGAGTTCCCACATATGCTGAGCACTTGTTGGCTGCTTTTCCTTCACTCTGCGGTCCGACTCATCCCAAACCATCTCAATTGGGTTGAGGTCGGGGGATTGTGGAGGCGAGGTAATCTGATGCAACACTCCATCACTCTCCTTCTTGGTCAAATAGCCCTTTACACAGCCTGGAGGTGTGTTGGGTTATTGTTCTGTTGAAAAACAAATGATAGTCCCACTAAGCCCAAACCAGATGGGATTGCGTATCACTGCAGAATGCTATGTTAGCCATGCTGGTTAAGTGTGCCTTGAATTCTAAATAAATCAGACATTGTCACCAGCAAAGCACCCCCACACCATAACACCACCTCCTCCATGCTTTACGGTGGGAAATACACATGCAGAGATCATCCGTTCACCCACACCGTGTCTCACAAAGCCACGGCGGTTGGAACCAAAAATGTCCAATTTGGACTCCAGACCAAAGGACACATTTCCACCGGTCTAATGTCCATTGCTCGTGTTTCTTGTTCCAAGCAAGTCTCTTCTTATTATTGGTGTCCATTAGTAGTGGTTTCGTTTTCCATATTGACTGACCTTCATGTCTTAAAGTAATGATGGCTGTTGTTTCTCTTTGCTTATTTCAGCTGTTATTGCCATAATATGGACTTGGTCTTTTACGAAATAGGGCTATCTTCTGTATACCCCCCTACCTTGTCACAACACAACTGATTGGCTCAAACGCATTAAGAAGGAAATACATTCCACAGATTAACTTTTAAGAAGGCACACCTGTTAATTGAAATGCATTCCAGATGACTATCTCATGAAGCTGGTTGAGAGAATGCCAAGAGTGTGCAAACCTGTCATCAAGGCAAAGGGTGGCTATTTGAAGAATCTCAAATATAAAATATATTTTGATTTGTTTAACACTTTTTTTGGTTACTATATGATTCCATGTGTGTTATTTTATAGTTTTGATGTTTTCACTATTATTCTACAATGTAAAAATAAAGAAAAACCCTTGAATGAGTAGGTGTTCTAAAACTTTTGACTGGTAGTGTATATTGTATTTACATTAAATGAGAAATGGCTTTTATATGTAGCATTGCAAAGCCCTTGTGATGGAAAATGTAAGTTGGAGACCGATTTCCTTTTCATGGAAGACTGCAAAAGAAGCATTGCACAGTGAAATAAATATGACATTCTGAGGAAGATGTCTAAAGGCAAAGTTTAGGCAAAGCAGTCTACCAAAATACTGAATCTCTTATGTCATCAGCTTGGCACATCTGTTTGGGCTTACCTATAGACCTATAAAGGTTCTCCTTTTTTACGAAGGGAGACGACTTGAATACCATAATAGCAAAATATGCATAACATCTTATCATTTGAATAGCTTTTTCTACACAGAATAATCTACAAAAATAAAGACAGACTGATCAGCTTTAAGATAAAACAAAGTTCCTTTCCTAAATGGCAGTAATAGGTTGGAAAACATGTAAGGTGTTGGGTAGGGTTGGTGTGCTGCCCTTTTAGCTGGACACCAGGCAGCAGAACCCAGAGAAGCGCCTCTTCCTCTGCCTGACCAGCGGGTATGGAGTGAGATTCAGCAGACTGCTGTCATCTAGACACAATACAGACAGCAAATCCTGAGTACAGTGCAGTGCCTTCAATCTTGTGTATTTTTTATGATTTCATCCACTCATACAGTATAAATGCCACTTACCTTGGTTTTTCAGTGGTAAAGGCATGGTCTCCCTGAGTTTGCTTAGTAGGTTTCTCATCTCTCGCATGTCCCTGAGGAGACATGGTGAATCATGGGTAAATCCATTTAGGGGAGAGTGGGGTAAGTTGAGCCAAAGGGGTAAGTTGAGCCACCCTTGTTTGTAGGACACCATGCACAAAATTAATCATTTGACCAAATATTTAGGCAGAGGTCATCTTTTCATGGAGTCTGTGAAGAAACCACATGGAAAAAGTGGTAAGCAAGTTAAGTCCCAAAAAAAGATTTTCACCAAGTCAAATGAATGCATTGTGTTTGAGGTTTCATGATGCATGTATCTAAACCAAAGTAGATAATTTAAAGATTGTTCTATACATCAGTTGGGGTCTCCATAAGCTTCAATATGAGGTCCTAAACCTAGCATGAAAGTGCATCCTTGTAGCTATGTGGGCTAATATGGTCAAAATGTTTGCCTTGGAGTAAATTGAGCTAATGGCCATGGGGTAAGTTGAGATGGCTTTATTTATCCTGTCGCGTGGCTCAACTTACCCCATAACCGGGGTAAGTTGTGACAACAGACCACTTTTTTTAGACAAACTACAGTATGTTTTCAAAACTGTCATGTTTACGTGAATTACAATTGTTTCCAGGGATACAGAACAACCTGAAATACACTACCATTCAAATGTTTGGACACACCTACTCATTCAATGGTTTTTCTTTATTTTTTACTATTTTTTACATTGTAGAATAATAGTGAAGACATCAAAACTATTAAATAACACATATGGAATCATGTAGCAACCAAAACAGTGTTAAATAAATCAAAATATATTTTATATTTGAGATTCTTCAAATAGCCACCCTTTGCCTTGATGACAGGTTTGCACACTCTTGGCATTCTCTCAACCAGCTTCATGAGATAGTCACCTGGAATGCATTTCAATTAACAGGTGTGCCTTCTTAAAAGTTAATCTGTGGAATGTATTTCCTTCTTAATGCGTTTGAGCCAATCAGTTGTGTTGTGACAAGGTAGGGGGGTATACAGAAGATAGCCCTATTTCGTAAAAGACCAAGTCCATATTATGGCAATAACAGCTGAAATAAGCAAAGAGAAACAACAGCCATCATTACTTTAAGACATGAAGGTCAGTCAATATGGAAAACGTAACCACTACTAATGGACACCAATAATAAGAAGAGACTTGCTTGGAACAAGAAACACGAGCAATGGACATTAGACCGGTGGAAATGTGTCCTTTGGTCTGGAGTCCAAATTGGACATTTTTGGTTCCAACCGCCGTGGCTTTGTGAGACACGGTGTGGGTGAACGGATGATCTCTGCATGTGTATTTCCCACCGTAAAGCATGGAGGAGGTGGTGTTATGGTGTGGGGGTGCTTTGCTGGTGACAATGTCTGATTTGTTTAGAATTCAAGGCACACTTAACCAGCATGGCTAACATAGCATTCTGCAGTGATACGCAATCCCATCTGGTTTGGGCTTAGTGGGACTATCATTTGTTTTTCAACAGAACAATAACCCAACACACCTCCAGGCTGTGTAAAGGGCTATTTGACCAAGAAGGAGAGTGATGGAGTGTTGCATCAGATTACCTCGCCTCCACAATCCCCCGACCTCAACCCAATTGAGATGGTTTGGGATGAGTCGGACCGCAGAGTGAAGGAAAAGCAGCCAACAAGTGCTCAGCATATGTGGGAACTCCTTCAAGACTGTTGGAAAAGCATTCCAGGTGAAGCTGGTTGAGAGAATGCCAAGAGTGTGCAAAGATGTCATCAAGGCAAAGGGTGGCTATTTGAAGAATCTCAAATATAAAATATATTTTGATTTATTTAACACTGTTTTGGTTGCTACATGATTCCATATGTGTTATTTCATAGTTTATGTCTTCACTATTATTCTACAATGTAGAAAATAGTAAAAATAAAGAAAAACACTGGAATGAGTAGGTGTGTCCAAACTTTTGACTGGTACTGTATATGTAGATATCTTTGTTAGAAAGAATACTATATTTCTTGATTGAGTGATGCTGAATGTAAGAAATAGCTCAACTTACCGCAGTCTCCCCTACCACCTCTAAATGGTCACAGGGGAAGCACACACACACACACACTGAACTTCTACTATAACCAGCCTGGTATCAACTGACGTGTCATTCTGTGATGCTTTTGCAAAAATAAATGGTATAAGTCAATACATTGCATTCAATGCAAATATATAGTGCTTTCAGAAAGTATCACACCCCTTGACTTTTTCCACATTTTGTTGTTAGAGCCTGCATTTAAAATGGATTAAATTGAGATTTTTTCGCCACTGATCTACACACAATACCCCATAATGTCAAAATGAAATGCAGTTTGTAGAACATTTTAGAAATGTATAACAAATTAAAAGCTGAAATGTCCTGAGTCAATAAGTATTCAACCCTTTGTTATGGCAAGCCTAAAAGTTCAGGAGTAAAAATGTGCTTAACAAATCGCATAATAAGTTACATGGACAAGTTACATGGACAATTCCATGTTCAATAATAGTGGTTAACATGTATTTTTAATGACTATCCCATCTCTGTACCACACACATACAGTGAGGGAAAAAAGTATTTGATCCTCTACTGATTTTGTACGTTTGCCCACTGACAAAGACATGACCAGCCTATAATTTTAAATGGTAGGTTTATTTGAACAGTGAGAGACAGAATAACAACAAAAAAATCCAGAAAAACGCATGTCAAAAATGTTATAAATTGATTTGCATTTTAATGAGGGAAATAAGTATTTGACCCCTCTGCAAAACATGAGTACTTGGTGGCAAAACCCTTGTTGGCAATCACAGAGGTCAGACGTTTCTTGTAGTTGGCCACCAGGTTTGCACACATCTCAGGAGGGATTTTGTCCCACTCCTCTTTGCAGATCTTCTCCAAGTCATTAAGGATTCGAGGACTGACGTTTGGCAACTCGAACCTTCAGATCCCTCCACAGATTTTCTATGGGATTAAGGTCTGGAGACTGGCTAGGCCACTCCAGGACCTTAATGTGCTTCTTCCTGAGCCACTCCTTTGTTGCCTTGGCCGTGTGTTTTGGGTCATTGTCATGCTGGAATACCCATCCACGACCCATTTTCAATGCCCTGGCTGAGGGAAGGAGGTTCTCACCCAAGATTTGACGGTACATGGCCCCGTCCATCGTCCCTTTGATGCGGTGAAGTTGTCCTGTCCCCTTAGCAGAAAACCACCCCCAAAGCATAATGTTTCCACCTCCATGTTTGACGGTGGGGATGGTGTTCTTGGGGTCATAGGCAGCATTCCTCCTCCTCCAAACACGGCGAGTTGAGTTGATGCCAAAGAGCTCGATTTTGGTCTCATCTGACCACAACACTTTCACCCAGTTCTCCTCTGAATCATTCAGATGTTCATTGGCAAACTTCAGACGGCCCTGTATATGTGCTTTCTTGAGCAGGGGGACCTTGCGGACGCTGCAGGATTTCAGTCCTTCACAGCGTAGAGTGTTACCGATTGTTTTCTTGGTGACTATGGTCCCAGCTGCCTTGAGATCATGGAAAAGATCCTCCTGTGTAGTTCTGGGCAGATTCTTCACCGTTCTCATGATCATTGCAACTCCTCGAGGTGAGATCTTGCATGGAGCCCCAGGCCGAGGGAGATTGACAGTTCTTTTGTGTTTCTTCCATTTACGAATAATCGCACCAACTGTTGTCACCTTCTCACCAAGCTGCTTGGCGATGGTCTTGTAGCCCATTCCAGCCTTGTGTAGGTCTACAATCTTGTCCCTGACATCCTTGGAGAGCTCTTTGGTGTTGGCCATGGTGGAGAGTTTGGATTGATTGCTTCTGTGGACAGGTCTTTTTTTATACAGGTAACAAACTGAGATTAGGAGCACTCCCTTTAAGAGTGTGCTCCTAATCTCAGCTCGTTACCTGTATAAAAGACACCTGGGAGCTAGACATCTTTCTGATTGAGAGGGGGTCAAATACTTATTTCCCTCATTAAAATGCAAATCAATTTATAACATTTTTGACATGCGTTTTTCTGGATTCTTTTTTTGTTATTCTGTTTCTCACTGTTCAAATAAACCTACCATTAAAATTATAGACTGATCATTTCTTTGTCAGTGGGCAAACGTACAAAATCAGCAGGGGATCAAATACTTGTTTCCCTCACTGTACAATTATCTGTAAGGTGCCTCAATCGAGTAGTGAATTTCAAGCACAGATTTAACCACAAAGACCAGGGACATTCTTCAATGCCTCGCAAAGAACGGCACCGATTGGTAGATGTGTAAAAAAAATAAAAATAATAATAAGCAGTCGCTGAATATCCCTTTGAGCATGGTGAAGTTATTAATTAGGCTTTGGGTGGTGTATCAATACACCCAGTCAGTACAAAGATAAAGGAGTCCTTCCTAACTCAGTTGCCAGTGGGGAAGGAAACTGCTCAGGGATTTCACCATGAGGCCAATGGTGATTTTAAAAGAGTTAAAGAGTTTAATGGTTGTGATATGAGAAAACTGAGGATGGATCAACAACATTGAAGTTACTCAATACTAACATAAATTACAGAGTGAAAAGAAGGAAGCCTGTACAGAATACAAATATTCCAACAGGGCACTTAAGTAATACTGCAAAACATGTTGCAAAGAAATACACTTTTTGTCCTGAAAACAAAGCGTCATGTTTGGGTCAAATTCAACACCACACATCACTGAGTACCACTCTTCATATTTTCAAACATGGTGGTGGCTGTGTCATGTTACGGGTATGCTTGTCATTGGCAAGTACTAGGGTGTTTTTTTAGGATAAAAAGAAACGGAATACAGCTATAAGCACAGGCAAAATCCTAGAGAAAAACCTGGTTCAGTCTGTTAATTCATTGGTTCAGTCTGCTAATTCACTTTTCAGCAGGACAATAACCTAAAACACAAGGCCAAATCTATGCTGGAGTTACTTACCCAGTGTGGCTTAGTTACAGATTTGATGCAAATTGGCTTGAAAATCTATGGCAAGACTTGAAAATGGCTGTCTAGCAATGATCAACAATCAACTTGACAGAGCTTGAAGAATTTAAAAAAGAATAAGGGGCAATATTTGTACAATCCAGGTGTTGAAAGCTCTTAGAGACTTACCCAAAAATACTCACAGCTGTAATCGCTGCCAAAGGTGCTTCTACAAAATATTGACTCATGGGTGTGAATATTTATATTTTTTTCTGTATTTCATTTCTAATCAATTTGCAAACATTTCTAAAAACATGTTTTCACTTAGTTATGAGGTATTGTGTGTAGATGGGTGAGAAAAACAATCTATTTAATCCATATTGAATTCAGGCTGTAACAACAAAATGTGGAATAAGTTAAGGGGTATGAATACTTTCTGAACGCACTGTATGTGTCAAGAGTATTGAAGTATAAGTCAATACATTGGATTCAATGCACAAAATTGGTGATAAAGCTGCAATGGGTAAATTGGTGAATGACTCAGACAGGCATGCAGACAGACAGACTCACAGACTGACAGACAGACATGCATATAGACACAATTCTACCCTTTTTAACCCCTCGAAACCACCCCTATGACCCCCAATTAAATTCAATGTACGGACTCCTGGGAACACTCTTTAACAACGCCCTGAGTTTCAAGTCTTTATGTTAAGAATTTACCGTTCTACAGAGGGTTTAACTGCAGGGAGAGAATAAAGGGTTATGTCTAGGGTTGAGGCCCTAACCGTAGCTTCATGTCCACATCCCGGCTCAACCCTAACTCTAACCTCAATACCTAGCTTCATGTCCACATCCCGGCTCAACCCTAACTCTAACCTCAATACCTAGCTTCATGTCCACATCCCGGCTCAACCCTAACTCTAACCTCAATACCTAGCTTCATGTCCACATCCCGGCTCAATCCTAACTTTAACCTCAATACCTAGCTTCATGTCCACATCCTGGCTCAACCCTAACCTCGATACCTAGCTTCATGTCCACATCCAGGCTCAACCCTAACCTCAATACCTAGCTTCATGTCCACATCCCGGCTCAACCCTAACTCTAACCTCAATACCTAGCTTCATGTCCACATCCCGGCTCAACCATAACTCTAACCTCAATACCTAGCTTCATGTCCACATCCCGGCTCAACTCTAACTTTAACCTCAATACCTAGCTTCATGTCCACATCCTGGCTCAATTCTAACTTTAACCTCAATACCTAGCTTCATGTCCACATCCCGGCTCAACTCTAACCTCAAGCCTAAACCTAGCTTCATTTCCACATTAGAGGTCATCATGGGTCCAACCGAAAGCGATTACCCGACCCAATTCTGTAGTTCACCCTCGGATCCGGGTCAGATCTGATTGTCAGGGGTATCAGGGGTATGTATAAATATAACTGATTTTCCAGTAAGGACCAGTACAGACCCGAACGCGACTGCTGCAGTCCAGAGAGAGAGAAAATGGTCTCTTTTATGCTGCTGCCCAGGATCTTTACGAGAGTGGCGCATGTAGCTTGTTGTTGTTGGCCAATCAAAAGTCATCAAAATGGCACTAGCCTCTGTGTGCAGTGGGAAGCAAGTTAGGAGATCAATGGAAGTTGGAATTAAATTAACTGAATGAAAAGTTAAATGAGAAGAATAGGCTACAATGACCAATAGCCAACAGGTAGGCTGCTACTTAATACTCTGAATGGAGTTGTTGTTGCAGCCTCAGTTAGCCTACATAGCTAGCTTAACTAGCTTCTCTTCTCGGTTTGATGCAGTCAAAACAGGTACTATGTAATCAGATTGGATGATAAATAACTTAGCTTTGGCAGCTAGAAGTTAGTACCTAATGCGAGTCAGCTTGGTTGCTGCTGCCTGCTCCTCGAGCCACTCAGCCACAAACACACACCACATGGCCCCTCCCCCACCTGCTGGTAGAACTCCTCCATTCTTCTTCTTCTTCTTCTTCTTCTTCTTCTTCTTCTTCTTCTTCTGTGGATTTTATATGGCGGTGGGCAACCAACTTTAAGGTGCATTTCCGCCACCAACTGGACTGGAGTGTGGACCAGAGACAGTGAAGGTCTAAATCCTACCCAATAATCTAATCTCCCTAAGGAAACGAAATACATAATTAAATACTACATCCCCTGAAGATTTCGCCAGCAGTTCACTTAATCCTGGCTCTTCAACCCCATTCCTCCTCATATCTAATAACAATCACTCCCTTTCTCTCACAAATGTCTGGCACTGAAATAGAACATGTTCCACTGCCTCGATCTCCTCCTGACAATGATCACACCTCCCAGTCGGATGTTTCCCCACCAATTTCATCCATTCCTCTCTCCCTCGGCTCGTGCATTAAAGTTTATTGGTCACCTACACCGATTTGCAGATGTTATTGCAGGTGCAGTGAAATGCTTGTGTTTGTAGCTCCAACAGTGTGGTAATGGCAGTGTGGCAAAAAACAAATTACAATACACATATAATCCAGAAAAATAACAAAAAATAAGTTATATAGGGTAAGCCTTGACTAGAATACAGTATACAGTGCATTCGGAAAGTATTCAGACCCCTTGACTTTTTCCACATTTCGTTACGTTACAGCCTTATTCTAAAATTGATTAAATTAAATTTTTTCCTCATCAATCTACACAAAATACCCCATAATCAGTCCTTTATGGTAGAGATGGCCAGACGGAAGCCACTCCTCAGTAAAAGGCACATGACAGCCTGCTTGGAGTTTGCCAAAAGGTACCTAAAGGACTCAGACCATGAGAAACAAGATCCTCTGGTCTGATGAAACCAAGATTGAACTCTTTGGCCTGAATGCCAAGCGTCACCTCTGGAGGAAACCTGGCACCATCCCTATGGTGAAGCATGGTGATGGCAGCATCATGCTGTGGGGATGTTTTTCAGCGGCGGGGACTGGGAGACTAGTCAGGATCGAGGGAAAGATGAACGGAGAAAAGTACAGAGAGATCGTTGATGAAAGCCTGCTCCAGAGCGCTCAGGACCTCAGACTGGGGCGAAAGTTCACCTTCCAACAGGACAACGACCCTAAGCACACAGCCAAGACAACGCAGGAATGGAATCGGGACAAGTCTCTGAATGTCCTTGAGTGGCCCAGCCAGAGCCCTGACTTGAACCCGATCAAACATCTCTGGAGAGAGCTGAAAATAGCTGTGCAGTGACGCTCCTGGATGCTTTCAATGTGCATCTGTAGAAGTTCGTGAGAGTCTTAGGGGCCATGACACATTTCTTCAGCCTCCTGAGGTTGAAGAGGCGCTGTTGCGCCTTCTTCACCATGCTGTCTGTGTGAAGGGACCATTCCAGGTTGCCAGTGATGTGCATGCCGAAGGAACTTGAAGCTTTTGACCCTATCCACTGCGTTCTCGTCGATGTGGACAGGCGTGCTCTCTCTGCTGTCTCCTGTAGTCCACGATCAGCTCCTTAATTTTGTTGACGTTGAGGGAGAGGTTATTTTCCTGGCACCACTCTGCTATGGCTCTCACCTCCTCCCTGTAGGCTGTCTCATCATTGTTGGAAATCAGGCCTACCACTGTTTTGTCGTCAGCAAACTAGATGATTGAGTTGGAGATGTGCGTGGCCACACAGTCATGGGTGAACAGTGAGTACAGGAAGGGGTTGAGCAAGCACCCCTGTGGGGCCGCCGTGTTGAGGATCAGCGTGGCGGAGGTGTTGTTGCCTACCTTCACCACTTGGGGTCGGACTGTCAGGAAGTTCAGAACCCAGTTGCACAGGGAGGGGTTCAGACCCAGGGCCCTGAGCTTAGTGATGAGCTTGGAGGGCACTATGGTGTTGAAGGCTGAGCTGTAGTCGGTGAACAGCATTCTTACATATGTATTTCTCTTGTCCAGGTGGGATAGGGCAGTGTGCAGTGCAATGGCGATTGCGTCGTCCATGGATCTGTTGGGGCGATATGTGAATTGTAGTGGGTCTAGGATGTCGGGTAAGGTGGAGGTGATATGATCCTTAACCAACCTTTCAAAGCAATTCATGATGACAGAAGTAAGTGCTACGTGGCGATAGTCATTTAGTTCAGTTACCTTCGCTATCTTGGGTACAGGAACAATGGTGGACATCTTGAAGCAAGTGGGTACAACAGACTGGTATATGGAGAGATTGAATATGTCCGTAAACACTCCAGCCAGCTGGTCTGCACATGCTCTGAGGACGCGGCTTGGGATGCCGTCTGGGCAGGAGAACGAGCGCACACAGTCCTTGTGAGCTTGGGGCCTGTGTCCCTGGCTCGATGTTGTTTTCCTCGAAGCGGGTGAAGAATGTCTTTGGCTCGTCCGGGAGCGAGGCGTCAGTGTCCACGACGTGGCTGGCTTTCCCTTTATAATCCGGGATTGTCTGGAGGCCCTGCCACATACGTCTCGTGGCCTGAGCTGTTGAATTGGGACTCCACTTTGTCCCTGTACTCTTGTTTTGGCTCTTTGATCACCTTACGGAGGTCGTACCTGGTCTGTTTGTACACGTAGGTGGTCTGTTCTGGGTCCAACTTTTTGGACCAGGAAGACCTCTAAGCCATAACCCTAACCCTAGCTTCATGTTCACATCCCGGCTCAACCCTAACTCCAACCTCAACCCTAACCATAATCCTATGGCTAGAACTTAGCCAAGATGTAGAGACAAAGCTAGTGTTAAGTTTAGGATTATGGCTAAGGTTAAGCCGGGATGTGGACATGAAGCTAGGGTTAGGGTGAGGGTTAGGTTTAAGGTTGAGATTAGTCTGTCTGTCTGCGTCTGTCTGTGTCTGTCTGTCTGAGTCTTTCACCAATTTACCCATTGCAGCTTTATCACCAACTTTTTTTTTGTTGCATTGAATGCAATGTATTGATTTATGCATCAATACGTTTCGCATCACCTTATGCATCAATACTGCACATCTTTTTGCAAATTGCATCACAGACTGAAGCTTATCAATGATATCATGTTGACTATAATGTCCAGTCTGTTGATAATCATTCATGTATTGCCTATACTCATGTGACCTGGGCATTCTGACCATGAGAGACCATGAGTGTGTAAGCATATTGCTTATACTGTACCTCTCTATGTTTTCAATATCGGTGCACACCAGCCAGGACTCATGTTGGTAGTCCACAGGTGAGGAGGAGTGCTCCTCCAGAATGGGAACATCAGAGCTCTCATCCATCTTGAAGTCCAACCTGGGCTCTGGGTATGAATCCTTTCCTGTGAGGGGGATTTACATATGATCAACACATAACACTAGGTAACCTGTGAATAGCTTGTAAATGTCTGAAATGAATGTCTACATTTTCCAATGCTTTGTGTCTAGTCTGAGATATAAGAAAACTATGGAATTTGGCTTTGATGCGTGCCATACTAGCTACATCTTAGTTCATTGTGAGTAGATACACACTGCTCTTTATCTTGGTATGATGCTCTGAACATTTTATTATGGACTACCCTGCCATCTGCTGGTTGAGATTTGTATTGCACCTTTCCTGTGGAGCTGCAGCACTCCCAGTAGACACATGGACTTGAGCATCTCCGTGATGAACATCTCCAGGCAGCACTGTAGCTGGATGAATAGCCGGCAGATCTCTGGGTGGATCTCCCCATCCTCTGGCCTAAAGCACATATACACAGTTGGAGAATGGACAGTTTCAAATCTGATCACTGGTTCCTATCCTTAGCACCACTGGAGGTGTGAGAGGTCTGTCATGGCTAACAGGAGAGCAGGTAATTAATGAGTAGTCTAGGCTATAGGCTAATGTCACAGCCAAAGTGTGAGGTTATATACACTCCATGTGTAATGGGCTGCACTTTCTTTTAATCTCCACTGTAGAACCAGAGAACTGTTTCCTGGAAATGCTAAAAATACAGAATTTCCAATATTTTTTAAGTAGCCTAGTACACTTACTCCACATTTGTCAGATATTTTGCATAGGCTAGGCTACCTCTGAGAAAGTCACTGTCGCTATTCTTGATAAAGCAAAGACAGTTGGTTACTATGGTATGAAGTCCCGCCTACTTCATGGATCAAGTTCCACGTGGTTTTTGAATGGCCTTCAATAGATTCATGAAAATGCGGTCATTTAAATAGAGAAGTTGAAACAATGGGCAGCTGCACAGTCACTATGGGGAGCTCATGTTTTTAATCTCTAAATGGTTTAACTAGTGAGAAATATGTGATTATTGAGTTTGCTTCATTTACTATCATCCTAAATTAAGATATTACATTATTTTGCCATATCTAATTAATGTACATTATGCTACTTTCCAAGATGTGGACAGTATGTGTTACTACATTACACATCCTTTTTACCTCAGATTGGTGATAGTATAAAAGCTTATAGTCAACATGACACAAAATTGATTAAAACAGACCAATATCTTTGGTTTTGTACTGTTAACTTTGTAATACGCGCTGGGGATCGCAAGACTTAGAACACAGCTTTTATGCCCACCCACCGTGGAGCTGGCCCAGCTAATCAGAATGAGTTTGTCCCCAAAAAAGGGCTTTATTACAGACAGAAATACTTCTCAGTTTCATCAGCTGTCTGGGTGGCTGGTCTCAGACGATCCTGCAGGTGAAGAAGTCAGATGTGTAGGTCCTGGGCTGGCATGGTTATACATGGTCTGTGGTTGTGAAGCGGGTTGGACGTACTGCCAAATTCTTTAAAATTATGTTGGTAGAGAAATTAACATTCAATTCTCCGGCAACAGCTCTGGTGGACCATCCTGCAGTCAGCATGCCAATTGCACGCTCCCTCAAAACTTGAGACATCTGTGGCATTGTGTTGTGTGACAAAACTGCACATTTTAGAGTGACCTTTTATTGTCCCCAGCACAAGGTGCACCTGTGTAATGATCATGCTGTTTAATCAGCTTCTTGATATGCCACACCTGTCAGGTGGATGTATTATCTTGGCAAAGGAGAAATGCTCACTAACAGGGATGTAAACAAATTTGTGCACAACATTTGAGAGAAATAAGCTTTTTGTGCATATGGACAATTTCTTAGATTTTTATTTCAGCTCATGAAACACGGAACCAACACTTTACATGTTGCGTTTATATTTTTGTTCAGTATAGAAATAACAAATTATTTATACAGTATATGACCGACAGCTGTGCAGCAACGCTCCCCATCCAACCTGACAGAGCTTGTAGCGTCATACCAAAGAATACTCTATATTTAGATTTTTATTTTTTGTCATTTAGCAGACGCTCTTATCCAGAGCGAGTGCATACATTCTTTTTTTTTTTTCTTCATACTGGCCCCCTGTGGGAAACGAACCCACAACCCTGCCGTTGCAAACGCCATGCTCTACCAACTGAGCTACAACCCTGCCGGCCATTCCCTCCCCTACCCTGGACGACTTGTGCGCCGCCCCATGGGTCTCCCGGTCACGGCCGGCTACGACAGAGCCTGGATTCGAACCAGGATCTCTAGTGGCACAGCTAGCACTGCGATGCGGTGCCTTAGACCACTGCGCCACTCGGGAGTAGCTTTAATCGCTGCCAAAGGTGCTTCAACAAAGTACTGAGTAAAGGGTCTGAATACTTATGTAAATGTGATACGTTTTTTTATTTGTAATAAATTAGCAGAAATTTCTAAACCTGTTTTTGCTTTGTCATTATGGGGTATTGTGTGTAGATTGATGAGGGATAAAAACAATGTAATACATTTTAGGATATGGGTGTAACATAACAAAATGTGGAAAAGGTCAAGGGGTCTGAATACTTTCTGAAGGCACTGTATGTCATTGACAGAAACAACTTGAATTGTTGCATCTCGTTGTGTTGTTGTCCTCCGGTGCCTAGCCAGGGATTTGGACTTGTGGTTTTACTTAATTCTCAGTACTGGCCAATGATTATAATTGCGATTCTGATCCAACCATTAGCCTAATTCATACATTGTTGTGCCCCTGGCCTTAGAGTATGGAAGTTCAATATGTAGCTAGATGTAGAATGCTAATGTTAACTAGCTAACGTTGCCAATGAATGGAAGTTAAGCTAGCGAGCAAGCGTTTAAACCAGGTTGCCACGTCATATTTAGTTTACGTTGATGGGACTAAATTGTTTTTGGTATCTTTTAGTTGGCACTGTTTTAGACGAAGCAGAGGTGATTTGATGTTTAAATGTAGAAGTTGAAATGGTGCTGGAATAGTGGCGGCAGCTCCTATTTTCTTTGCGACTTGCGGTAACTCTGTGGTTCTAAATCGATAGTTTAGTGAGCCGAAAATGTCGGAAACATTAACTTGCGTAACCATGCTGTAGGTCATGTAACGGTCTGTTACATGCAATATGCATCGCGGACAGAGGTTGTTATCCGGTTTTGTGATAAAACAAAAAGGTGGTTGAATTTATTATCCCACTGTGTCTTATTGTCTCGGCCTTATATATATATATATATGTCAGGTTGTAAGGCATATGAATGAACAGGTTATAGAGCAAACAACGCAATTATCACAACACTGGTTGTAATATGGCTTTTTTAAAATCTTCCCAGTGATTTTACCCATGCACCACTACTGATCATAAGTTAATTAATTAATTAGGCTATATTCATATTCGTGGCTTCATTTAGGCTATTTCTGATGACTTTCATGGATTTCGATTGCGTTTCTCTTTTCCTTATGGAAAACCTTCATAGAAGGAATTGAGTAAAAGTAAATTAATCCACTAATACGAATATATAATATCTTAAATGACGCGATTGTAATTAATTTGATTATATAATAGGGCTATTGAAGGCCATTCAAAAACAGTGTGGGAGATGATCCAGGAAGTAGGCGGGACTTTCATACCGTATAGCAAGCTGTCATGTCGAATAGCGCGCCTTGAATTGACATACACTAGCACCATGGACAATTCCAGTGACATTGAAGAAGTCAACATATCATGTTCATTTAACTGTATCCGTATATCGTAGATTCCTTACCCAGACCCAGATATTACGGTGAGGTTCTGATGGGCAGCTTGGGCCATTGTGCATCCTTTGGTCCTGGTGCGGTGCAGCACCGCCCGTAAAGAGGGACAATCGGCCGAAATCTCCCCAATAGTTATGACCTGTTCTCGGTACAGCGCCACGAGAGTGTTGAAATCTTGGACAGTCTGAGAAGCAACATGGACAAATAACCCCTTTCAGCAAGTCAATGCATAGCTCCATAGGTTTTCAAGGGAGATTGGAGCGACAATACTATTGCATGCGCAGGTGGACACGCAGTAGATCAATGTTATGACTGCCACCCGACCCGTATAGGCTACATAGCCTGGACTGCCACCCGATCCGTATAGGCTACATAGCCTACTGCACGTAAATAATCACAATATTGCCTACACTTGAATAATAACAATATTGCACTACAAAATATAGCCTATTCCTATATACTATATATAGGCTACCTAATTGTGGCACATTGGTGTAATATTATCCCAGCTCTCCTTGTGGCATGCCCTTGTGAGTGCAACAGACATTATTTTGTCTATCGCACCTTAAAGCGCTAAGACACCAAGGACAGTCTTAAATAAATCACTATATGGTACCTGGACTCACATCTACGACTTCGTTGGCAGATAAATGTAGCTTGGTAAGAAATGTGTCTCTGGTTAATTATTTTATCGTATCCAGTGTTGCGCATTTGAATTTGTCTTTGTGGTTTAATAGAACAGTGCACCTACACGTGATTTTCATGCGGGAAATATATAGGTTACAATGTCTGCTCTTATACTAGTATGGCAGCGATGACTCCATAGCTATTACCACTACCGACGGAACGATATATCATATCTTACCATCCTACAGTCGCCTACGGCCCGCTGGGCTTTCCGCGTGCTCTCGGTGCTCTCCCGGCGTTCCGGGTCCCTCTGCAGTGGTTTGCTGAGCTGAAAAATGTTCGCTGCGGATCTGGGGCGGTTCTTGCGCCCGTTCGGTGCAGAACACATGCATACACAGCCACTGATAAAACCCCACCGACAGCCTATCTATAATATTCCCCGAGGACGCAGCCGAGGTGGAGGCTCTTGTCGATGTTCCTGCGGGGTCTAAAACGTTCAGCTTGCAGGATGAGTGCGAGTAGCGGACGGCTTCTCGCAGCTCCCTCTCACCTCAGCGGCTAGGCGAGTCACCTTCACCCCTGCAGAAGGCCAACTTTGGCTGAAATCCGTCTTCCGTTGTGCCTTTACGTGAGAGGCGAATTCACTGGGAGCCTGAGCCAACCATTCGTCACTGCTCCGTCATTCGAGGCATCGACGACTCCAAAACATACGAGTCTGTCACAGGAAAGGATGAAAGTAGACGCACATACATCAACATATTACTCATATCTGGCAGCAGCAAGAGCACATTCAAAGACCAGCAGTAATATGCTCAAAGTAATCTCATGAGTTTACACGCACATCCAAGCCTCCCAGACCGATGTGTAAGATAGATAGGCGTACATGTGGAATAATATAAACATATAGGCCTAGGCTACTGTACTAGCAAACCAAATGATTATTGTCACCACAATTGCAAACCAATGAAAACTGTAATTTGTCAAGTTACAGTTGTCAGAGATTTGGCAATTCCTTATGTAAAATGAATATAAGATGTCTGGTAATACACTGAATCCCAAGAACACACAAAATTGCAAAAATACTAAAATACTTAAAATATGCCTATTATTATACAGTGCCTTCGGAAAGTATTCATACCGCTTGACTTTTTGTTAGGTTGCAGCCTTATTCTAAAATTTATTACATTGTTTTTTTCCCCTCATCAATCTACACACAATACCCATAGCCAAGCTTGGCACACCTGTATTTGGGGAGTTTCTCCCATTCTTCTCTGCATATCCTCTCAAGCTCTGTCAGAGGAGCGTTGCTGCACAGCTATTTTCAGGTCTCTCCAGAGATGTTAGATCGGGTTCAAGTTCGGGCTCTGGCTGGGCCACTCAAGGACATTCAGAGACTTGTCCCGAAGCTACTCCTGCGTTGTCTTGGCTGTGTGCTTAGGGTCGTTGTCCTGTTGGAAGGTGAACCTTCTCCCCAGTCTGAGGTCCTGAGCTCTCTGGAGCAGGTTTTCATCAAGGATCTCTCTGTACTTTGCTCCATTTATCTTTGCCTCAATCCAGAGACAGAGATGGTTGTCCTTCTGGAAGGTTCTCCCATCTTCACAGAGGAACTCTGGAGCGCTGTCAGAGTGACCATCAGGTTCTTGGTCACCTTCCTGACCAAGGCCCTTCTCCCCCAATTGCTCAGTTTGTCCGGGCGGCCAGCTCTAGGATGAGTCTTAATGGTTCCAAACTTCTTCCATTTAAGAATGATGGAGGCCACTGTGTTTTTCGGGACCTTCAATTCTGCAGAAATGTTTTGGTACCCTTCCCCAGAGCTGTGCCTCGACACAATCCTGTCTCGGGGGCTCTACGGACAATTCCTTCAACTTCATGGCTTGATTGTTGCTCTGACATGCACTGTCAACTGTGGGACCTTATATAGACAGGTGTGTGCCTTTCCAAAATATGTCCAATCAATTTCATTTACCACAGGTGGACTCCAAGTTGTAGAAACATCTCAAGGATGATCAATGGAAACAGGATGCACCTGAGCTCAATTTCGAGTCTCATAGCAAAGGTTCTGCACACTTATGTAAATAAGGTATTTCTGTTTTTTCTGTTTAATAAATTTGCAAACATTTCTAAAAACCTGTTTTCGTTTTGTCATTATGGGGTATTGTGTGTAGATTGCTGATGATTTGTATTTATTTCATCCATTTTAGAATAACGCTGTAACGTAACAAAATGTGGAATCGTCAATGGGTCTGAATACTTTCCGAAGGCACTGTATGTCTCTGTGCAAAGCCATTACCAACCAGATTTGTTTTTAAACAATCATCATTTTTCTTCTTTCATATTCACTTCTATAACACTTCTATCCCTCATAAAACAATTGTGGATTTGACAGTGAAAAGATTGATGATGCTCAACTGTCACAAAATATGAAATAGGCCTATCTACACAACTGCTTCATGTGAGAACTGGACTTTATAAAATATGACCTCCAGAAATGCACCAAAAAAATTATAATAGAAAAACATACAGTACCAGTCAAAAGTTTGGACACACCTACTCATACAAGGGTTTTTCTTTATTTTTACTATTTTCTACATTGTAGAATAATAGTGAAGACATCAAAAATATGAAATAACACATATGGAATCATGTAGTAACCAAAAAAGTGTTAAACAAAATAATTTTTGATTTGAGATTCTTCAAAGTAGCCTCCCTTTGCCTTAATGGCAGCTTTTAACACTCTTGGCATTCTCTCAACCAGCTTCATGAGGTAGTCACCTGGAATGCATTTAAATTAACAGATGCGCCTTGTTCAAAGTTAATTTGTGGAATTTCTTTCCTTCTTAATGCGTTTGAGCCAATCAGTTATGTTGTGACAAGGTAGGGGTGTTATACAGAAGATAGCCCTATTTGGAAAAAGACCAAATCCATAATATGGCAAGAACAGCTCAAATAAGCAAAGAGAAACGGCAGTCCATCATTACTTTATGACATGAAGGTCAGTCAATACGGAACATTTCAACAACTTTGAAAGTTTATTCAAGTGCAGTTGCAAAAACAATCAAGCGCTATGATGAAACTGTCTCTCATGAGGACCGCCACATGAAAGGAAGACCCAGAGTTACCTCTGCTGCAGAGGATAAGTTCATTAGAGTTATCAGCCTCAGAAATTGCAGCCCAAATAAATGCTTCACAGAGTTCAAGTAACAGACACATCAACATAAACTGTTCAGAGGAGACTGCATGAATCAGGCCTTCATGGTCGAATTGCTGCAAAGAAACCACTACTAAATGACACCAATAAGAAGAAGAGACTTGCTTGGGCCAAGAAACACGAGCAATGGACATTAGACCGGTGGAAATCTGTCCTTTGGTCTGATGAGTCCAAATTTGAGATTTTTGGTTCCAACCGCCGTGTCTTTGTGAGATGCAGAGTAGGTGAACGGATTAACTCTGCATGTGTGGTTCCCACCGTGAAGCATGGAGGAGGAGGTGTGATGGTGTGGGGGTGCTTTGCTGGTGACACTGTCAGTGATGTATTTAGAATTCAAGGCACACTTAACCAGCATGGCTACCACAGCATTCTGCAGCGATACGCCATCCCATCTGGTTTTGCGCTTAGTGGGACTATTATTTGTTTTTCAACAGGACAATGACCCAAAATACACCTCCAGGCTGTGTAAGGGCTATTTGACCAAGGAGAGTCATGGGGTGCTGCATCAGATGACCTGGCCTCCACAACCACCCGACCTCAACCCAATTGAGATGGTTTGGGATGAGCTGGACCGCAGAGTGAAGGATAAGCAGCAAACAAGTGCTCAGCATATGTGGGAACTCCTTCAAGACTGTTTGAAAAGCATTCCTCATGAAGCTGGTTGAGAGAATGCCAAGAGTGTGCAAAGCTGTCATCAAGGCAAAAGGTGGCTACTTTGAAGAATCTAAAATCTAAAATATATTTTTATTTGTTAAACACTTTTTTGGTTACTACATGATTCCATATGTGTTATTTCATAGTGTTGATGTCTTTACTATTATTATACAATGTAGAAAATAGTAAAAATAAAGGAAAACCCTTGAATGAGTAGGTGTGTCCAAACTTTTGATTGGTACTGTATTTTAGGCGTGCTCTTGATTCCAGTTACATATGGAGGTGGCAGGTGAGTTACCTGGCAGTAGGCACTAATAAGCACAATGCAGAATACTACATCACCCAGAAACCCCAGCTGTACCATTTCAGAGGTCAGTCATCTTCCCTGGCTAAACACACAAAGAGCACTCAAGATAATAAAAAGTATGCTTGGAAGCAGAGCACCAGCAGTGCCAGTATCCAGTTGACTGAGTGGATGTAGATGATGACATGGTCGATGTCGAAGAGCCAGCCGCCCATGTCGGTCAGGTCCAGGGCATCCAGGGTGAAACCTGCTGGGGCAAAGTGCCACCATCTCCCTGGAGCCACATGCATCTGGTACCCTGGGATATAGACAGGAAGAGAGAGACACAGACCCTAGTCTACACCTTTACAATTGTGGGTTATTGTTAAGGAAACTGATCAAGGTTGGCATGCTAGTTAACAAAAAGAGACATTCCTTTTGTGAGAAACTCATTAGTTACACGATAATTATAACATGTTTGTTGCATAAGAGCTTACAAGACCCCACAACAATAATACTTAAACAGACAATCAGTTATGTACTGCAAGCAGTGGTGGAAAAAGTACCCAATTGTCATACTTGAGTAAAAGTAAAGGTACCTTAATAGAAAATGACTCAAGTAAAAGTGAAAGTCACCCAGTAAAATACTAATATACTTAAGTATCAAAAGTAAATATAATTGCTAAAATACACTTAAGTATCAAAAGTCAAAGTATAAATCATTTAAAATTACTTATATTAAGCAAACCAGACAGCACAATTTGTCTTGTTTTTTAAATTTACGGAGAGCCTGGGGCACACTCCAACACTCTGACATAATTTACAAATGAAGCATTTGTGTTTAGTGAGTCCGCCAGATCAGAGGCAGTAGGGATGACCAGGGTTGTTCTCTTAATAAGAATGTGAATTGGACCCTTTTCTGTCCTGCTAAGCATTCAAAATGTAACAAGTACTTTTGGGTGTCAGGGAAAATGTATAGAGAAAAAGTACATTATTTTCTTTAGGAATGTAGTGAAGTAAAAGTAAATGTTGTCAAAAATAGAAATAGTAAAATACAGATACCCCCCAAAACTACTTAAGTACTTTAAAGTATTTTTACTTAAGTACTTTACACCACTGACTGCAAGCAATACACAATATATCCACATCCACAATATACCTCACCCCAAAAGATGCTGAAACGTTTTCGGCAGTTGGGAAGAGGCCATTTAGCACAGTTCCGTGTGTGGTAGACCTTCGGGAAGAAAGTCTTAGCTGACTGGTTAAGCTCTGAAAGCAAAAGGCAATTAAACAAATTTAGTTAAAACTCTCTTCAAAGGGCTTCTGTACCATTTACAGGTATGGAGAAAACACTAGTCATTATCAATAACGGAACCATTGGGAGGAGTATGCACCCTAAATTGACACCGTAGCTCACCTTTCTGGAAAAGTGTGTGTGAGATGAGGGTGCGGCATAGGGGACAGGTGGTGTTGGCGGGCCTGTTCTTGGCCAGCGTGCGGAGGCAGGGCTCACAAAAGATGTGGCCACAGGGGTTGCAGCTATAGAGGCTTAAGTATACATCTAGGCACACAGCGCAGGTGTAGTCCTCTCTGTCCTCCTCCTCACTGTCTGTTAGCAGCCCCGTCACACTCTATATACAACACAACACAAAATATAAAATAACAGTGATGCATATGGAAAATAATATCTAACAACAGTAACATAACAGTACTAGTAAACTCTTGTGGACAGACGCACGTAACACAAATGATATCATAGCGTCTGTTAACAGACTGTGGGATGTGACGACTAATGAGGAATTTTGTTCCGGTACTCTTATTTGTTGTCACTGATCATTTGGACAAATAATGATTTTGCAGGTGCTCGCATCTTTTGAATTTTGGAAGGGGAGGGGACATTAACATATCTTTGTTCCTTTGCACATGATGTTCACATATGATATGAGAGCACTCCAATCAGTCCGTCGAGTGTCATTGTGAGAGAACACTCACAGGCAATAGAGTCTTTCATTTGGGCAGAACTGAGGGCTTTTTGACATGCCCTAGTCATCCCAATTCAAATACCCATATCACAGAGACAGACTGCAAACATGAATAGAGTAGTTTGTGGAAGGGCTTGAGCTTAACAGCAATCAACCAAAAACAATTGAACTCCTCTTGGAACAAAAATAGCGACTTTATCAAAGCACAACAATCAACCACTAGTACAGACGTCTCCCTTACCATTGCATAACATGTTTTTCATTGGTACGTGCAGTGCACGTGTGTATCACACACCACAGCAGGGCATATTTATACTACAGATTATACATGAGCACCAAATATAGTGCAAGCTCTGCACCAATAAAGCAGTGAGACAAACCTCAAAGATACCCTTCACGGCCACCGGCTGAAGAATCTTACAGAAGCCACGTATGGTGACTTGAACCTGGGTACCTCCGCAAGAGAAGGCATTGGTGTTGTTCTTTTCTACGGTCAGTCAGACTAGAACCAGAGTAGTACCTGTAGTCCACACTGCACAGTACTGTAAGTCCCTCTGGATAAGAGTGTCTGCTAAATGACTCAAATGTAATGTAAATGTAGGTCCACACTGGACACTGTCAACCAACAATCTCTCTGTTACTGCTGACAACACAGGGAAATGTAGTCACCCAACTGGAGGGCAACATCCAACTCACTAATCTTCTTGCTTGTGTTTGCTTAGCTGATGGGCGACAACATTATCAAAGGTAAGGTGTAACTTTGCCCCTTTCCAGACACGGTCAAAGTAAGGTCGGGAAATGTGTGTCATACATGTTACTGCTTGTGGTAAACAGTGTCAGAATAACAACCACATGGTCTTCTGGGCAGCTCAACATAATGGTCAAGAATAATCTCACAAAAGTGCAATGGGACTAAAATACTGGACAAACTAACCTGTATGAATGATTGACTTACCATTACACACATAACTCCCTTATTCTGTCTTTCTTACCGGCACTTATCTCTCTACCTGTCAGTAACTTGCCAATCTCAATTGAGGCCATTACCAATTCTCACCTGTTCCTGAGAGTGGAGACAGCACTCTTCATTCCTCTGTTTCCTCCTCTGGCTCTTCAGCCGGTTCTTTTCTCTCTTGCTGAGCCTTTGTGGGGCTGGATAGGCATTGGTGGCTACTGGCTGGACCTGGAGCTCTGTCGAGATTCCCCATCTCTCCTCCTCCACCTCCTCCTGCTCCCAAGTGATGTGGGAGACACCTGGCATTCTCAGGGAGAGAAGAGGAGAACCAGGGGCCAGATCTTCCTGCTGCAATGACTCTCCCGATGGCTCCACACTGCCCTGTTGCTGCTGCTTCTCTGCCTCCAGCATTGACGGTCCCTCTCTAGTCAGACGTGACCTAACATTAGTAGTGGCAAGTAGATGAGGGGTGTAGGACAGAACAGGAGAATGGGGCAACTGCTCTGTCCCAGCCCTCACCCCTCTCCCTCAGTATCATCTAAAGGGCCAGTCTGGGACCCAGAGCTACAGGAGGGTTCCAACCTGCCCCTCGCACCAGACTTCCTATGAGAAACTATTCTGGGGGAGCTCAATGGAACTGATTGGGTGGCTCTGATGTCAGTCAACTGGTAAAAGGCTTCTGGGTGTGTTGTGAATGGTCGGCTCTCAGCGTTAAGGCGGGACACAGAGGTACAGCAGAGCTGTGAGCCAACCAGAAAGTCCTCCCCTGACCTGTTCTGCTCACTCTGAGAACCCCCTGGCTTGCCCATCATGCAGCTCGGTCCTCCCCTACCTCTCGTCTTCCACGGTCAGACCACATGAAGGGAGCGTTTGTGGTCCTGGTCGACTCTTGATGAGGTGCACGGTGGACTCCTGACCACAGGGGCATTTGGTGCGGTTGAGAAAGTTAAAGCCGCCCAGGTGAGCACCACAGTTCTCGCAGTTCAGCTTCCCCACTGTCCACTGGGCCAGCAGAGAGAGAGGACTTTAGAACAGAAATAACTGATAGGCTTGTCTCGAAGTTTGATCCAAAAGTTGCAAGAGAACATAGTGCAAGATTAAACACTCTAGCACACACCTGTACAAACACAAACACACACCCTTACCCTTACCAGTATCCACTCTGGCAGTGTATCAACGTTCAAGTGCCAGACGCTGCATGTGCCTGCTGCCGCTGCGTTATCATCAGGCAATATCTGTTGGGAGACAAACTCCCATCTTTACCCAGTTCAGACCCGGTCAACTCCTAAACCTGTGTCATAACACCAGTCTGGCTCTCTCTAGGGAAGACATGTGCTGCTCTATTTTCTCCCCTACCACTGATATACTTTACATGTTATCTCAGTAACTAGGGGTTAAGACAGTGTTTCCCAAACTCAGTCCTGGGGACCACAAGGGTGCACGTTTTGGTTTTAGCCCTAGCACTATACAGCTGATTCAAATAATCAAAGCTTAACCCCGCGCCCCCAAGGAAATCTAATTAGCATAATACAAAAATCCCCATAAAAATCTGTCCGTTTAAGCTAGAGATATCTGTTTTTTTTTGCATTGGCTGCGTCTGAAACCACCACATCCGCCGATGTCGTACTTCCGCATCTACGTAAAGGGTGACAGAGCTAGAGCGGTGTTTGTCAGACGATGAGACATCCCAAAAATCGGTCTTCTAACAAAATCGTCTGTAGTGGCCTATAAACTATTATGACCCCTCTATGGAAAGAAGAGACTCTTACGAACATGATGGTGTTCTCCCTTTTGCTCTACGACCCACACAAATGTATTGGGACTCGTCTGAAGTCGGTACAGCAGATCTGCCAACTTCTGTCTGTAGCGTCCGAACAGTTTGGGCTACACATCTCTGTGGGAAGGGGAGACTCTTACAAACACGTACATGTCGGTTGTTGCCCACAGGTCTCACAAGACTCGCCTGAAGGTCCCCCGGTACCAGTTGAAAAAAATCAATGGAATTACTTTTATTTATTTTTAAACAACATAAATACCTTATTTACATAAGTATTCAGACCCTTTGCTATGAGACTCGAAATTGAGTTCAGGTGCATCATGTTTCCATTGATCATCCTTGAGATGTTTCTACAACTTGATTGGAGTCCACCTGTGGTAAATTCAAAGGATTGGACATGATTTGGAAAGGCACACACCTGTCTATATAAGGTCTCACAGTTGACAGTGCATGTCAGAGCAAAAACCAAGCCATTAGGTCGAAGGAATTGTCAGTCGAGCCCCGAGACAGGATTGTGTCGAGGCACAGATCTGGGGAAGGCTACCAAAAAATGTATGCAGCATTGAAGGTCCCCAAGAACACAGTTTGGAACCACCAAGACTCTTGATGTGTATTTTTAATGGATTATCAGATAAAATTGAGTTAATCATGAACATATAGTTAAGATTCTTTGTGGCTAACTGAATTGGGCCGTTTGTTTTTGTCTTCAAACACAGTGAAAAGAGCCAGGGTTGAACAGAGTTTAAACTAAACATGAGTGTTTTTGCAAGATAAGGATTGATTGATTGTAGTACTCTGAACTTAATGAAAGTTGAGTTTAGCCGCTCTCAGAGACAAAGGAAGTGGGCGGAGGAATAAAAGAGCGGGAAAACTGAAAAGGACTATATAAGATGGAAGGAGACCGTAAGAATGTGTGCCCCTCTGCAGACGGGTATCGGCTTAGTTGAAAACTTTAATAAAGTCATTTCTTGATGCAACAAAAACTCTGTAAGACCTTATTTGTAATAAAGTATGGTGGTTATTTTCCACAACACTCTTCATAGAGCTGGCCGCCCGGCCAAACTGAGCAATCGGGGGAGAAGGGCCTTGGTCAGGGAGGTGACCAAGAACCCAATGGTCACTCTGACAGCGCTACAGAGTTTCTCTGTGGAGAAGGGAGAACCTTCCAGAAGGACAACCATCTCTGCAGCACTCCACCAATCAGGCATTTATGGTAGAGTGGCCAGACGGAAGCCACTCCTCAGTAAAAGGCATATGACAGCCCGCTTGGAGTTCGCCAAAAGGCACCTAAAAGGACTCTCAGACCATGAGAAACAAGATTCTCTGGTCTGATGAAACCAACATTGAAATTTCTGGCCTGAATGTCAAGCGTCATGTCTGGAGGAAACCTGGCACCATCCCTAAGGTGAAGCATGGTGGTGGCAGCATCATGCTGTGGGGATGTTTTTCAGCGGCAGGGACTGGGAAACTAGTCAGGATCGAGGGAAAGATGAACGGAGCAAAGTACAGAGAGATCCTTGATGAAAACTTGCTCCAGAGCGCTCAGGACCTCAGACTGGGGGGAAGGTTCACCTTCCAACAGAACAACGACCCTAAGCAGCCAAGACAACGCAGGAGTGGCTTCGGGACAAGTCTCTGAATGTTGTTGAGTGGCCCAGCCAGAGCCCGGACTTGAACCCGATCTAACATTTCTGGAGAGACCTGAAAATAGCTGTGCAGCGACGCTCCCCATCCAACCTGACAGAGCTTGAGAGGATCTGCAGAGAAGAATGGGAGAAACTCCCCAAATACAGGTGTGCCAAGCTTGTAGTGTCATACCCAATAAGACTCAAGGCTGTAATTGCTGCAGAGGAATACACTTTTTAATTTTAATACATTTGCAAACATTTCTAAAAACCTGTTTTTGCTTTTTCATTATGGGGTATTTTGTGTAGATTGATGAAGGGAAAAAAACTATTTTATCAATTTTAGAATAAGGCTGTAACGTAACAAAATGTGGAAAAAGTCAAGGTGTCTGAATACTTTCCAAATGCACTGTATATATGGAGACTGTTTAGTGCCAAAAATAAGGGGTTAAATATATGTTTTAAAAAATCCTGATCCTTCTTATATTTCTCAGATACTTCAGAACAAACTTCCTTTAGATTTATTTTTGGGGGGGACTATCTGTTGTTCCATGTGGTGAATCTGTTATTTAATGCATTTGTATTGGCTAATAGCAGTAAGGCCAAATAAACATTTTTCATCAAATACTTTTTTTATATTCTAAATGAAATAGCAAAATTATCCTTGGTATGACCATCTTAAAACAATTCCATATAGCTTAGCAAAATGTGCACCCCTTGGGGACCCCAGGACCAAGTTCGGGAAACACTGGGTTAAGAAGAGTTCACATAGAATACAACCTGCCGTAGGTAAGGCAGGAAGTTCTAACAACGTCTCTAAGGAGATAGTGATCAGATAAAAGAGGTTGCTGGGAGTTCATTTCATCTAAGCCCTGGACCTTATACCAAAGAGTTCCTGAAATGCAACATGTGAGGCAAACAGGCTCCTGGCTTTTCATAATGTTTTTTCTTTGAAATGTAGCCATTTTACAGGGAGGAGATTATTAACCTAACAGATATATCTGGGAAACAATTAGCCAAAAATAAAACATGTCAGGAAAGGGTCATCTTTATGTTCAAAGTCAAATTTTAACTGTATTGTTCCAGAGGGCAATTGGTGTTGCAGCAAAGGTGTAGAAAACATTGAACATATAAAATCCACATGGATCACAATGACACACAGTTATAGTAAATACAATGAGCTTGTACATCATGTCATAGGGTTCACAGCCATCAATACTAATATATACAGTAGACCTACTAGTGATCGACATTAGCAGCAGCACAAAAGTATAGCAAGCCAAAGTTGCCTAATAAGTAAAGTGCTCTGTTCATTCTTAGATCATCTCGTCAACAACATATCAACAATGTGCTGACAAAAACAAAAAACATAATCAACATCACCAACAACATATTACCATCGTCATTCTCAACCTCATCATCATCCTTAGCCTACCTCCTTCTCATCCCTGTATTCATGAACTTTACAAGGGAATGACAGGATTATTTGGACTGAAGCCACTGACCTTTACTACAGGGCATTACCATGTAAAAGGCCCCATGAAGACCAAAGTGTGACGTTCATAGGAGCATATCAAATTGGGTGTCAAATGAAAGCTAAGAGTCTATATTTTTGGGAAATGACGGCGTAGATAAAAATGTTTTACAATTTTCCATCTTAAAAATTAGGAATAAGTAAAGGCTTTGATTTCTGGTCAAATGGATGGAAAAGGGGTCTACCAGAAAAGGTCTTAAAGGGTATTAGAAACATATCAAAACACAATAAGGTTGAATTAAAGACCTCTGCCAACTAATATCAACACTTATATTTAGTTTTGGAGGAATAATTTGCCTTCTGTAAGTTCAAAATGTGGTATTGTTTGGGGCCTGAGCTCATTAGAATAATAGCCAGTGAAGAATAATACCCAAATATGCAAAGGAGGATATTGCATATTTCTACCTATTCAGGATACATCAACATCTGTGTAGTACAGATCAGGGACCTATGATGTAATACCGTTACCATAATTCTGTTACCAGGTGTAAATCCACTTCACTTCCTCTAGTTCAGTAACCAAAATATATTTTTCCAAACTGAAGGTGTCATGTCATAGCTGACACTCTATTCTGTCACGATCGCCAATGAAGTATGACCAAAGCGCAGCGTTGGGAGTGAACATGATGATTTTAATTTTGAAACACACGACAAAACCAAAACACGATCCGTGACGTCCTCAGTTACACCGACTGAATAAAGAACAAAAACCCACAACCACAAGGTGAACATAGACATTTAAATATGGCTCCCAATCAGAGATAACGAGCCGACAGCTGACACTCGTTACCTCCGATTGGGAGTCACTGACCAAACATAGAACGCGAACACCTAGACACTACCCACAGTACACAACCCACGGAAATCTACACA